GTTCAGTTCACAGGGTGTTCGACCACTCTCTCTGATAATTCTTCTCCATGATTTGCACACAATACATGTCAGAGACAAAGGTTCTGTAGTTTAGTGCCTCGTGTCTTGTTTCCTTTATTAAATATAGGGGATACAATTAGCTGTCTACATTTCTAGGTAGTTTGCCCAGTTTCAAGGGATGTGTTGAAGAACTTGTGGTTAGAGGGGCACACACAGTATCTCTTGCTCCTTTTCTAAGGACCCATGGAGAGATGTTGTCGGTCCCATCGCCTTTGAGGAGTCAAGGTCATTTAAGAGATTCTTCACCTCCTCCTCTGTTGTTCGTATGTTCAGCCAACACTTGTTGGTATATTCCCTCTTGATGTTCCCTTCTGTGCTGTCTTCCACAGCCTTCCTGTCTCTACTGTAAAATCTTCCTTAAATCTCCTGTTCAGCTTCCTCACATACCTACTGATCATTTCTTGTGAGTTCTCACACCTCTGTCATTAATCTGATCCCTGGTCTTTGAGGTTTTGTCTTCTCCTGATGTGGCTATACAACAGTTTGGGTCAGTTCTTGATTTCGTGCTATATGTAATTTTCATACTGTCGCTGGTCTACCCTCTTACCTGTGCATACTCATTCACTGGCTCTGCGATGGTATCCTATTTTCGTGTGTTCTTTGCTTTGTACTTTTCCATTCTCTATTCGCACTTGTTATTTGCCTCCTTACACCGTGGGTAAACCAGGGGTCGTTCTTGTCTTCCCGTTGCTTACTGTTGCCTTGGGAATAATCCTTTTCCATGCCTCCTTGCATTTTGTCTGTTACATATTCCATCATTTCATTTACTGGCTTACTGCCAGTTCTTGTCCATGGACCTCCGCAGGAAGTTCTTCAACCCTATGTAGTCCCTATTTTTAGTCAGGCTTTTCCCTTCAATTCCTGTTATTCTCTCACTTGCACTCTATATGTATTCAAAGCACAGAAACCACGTGTCGCTAGCTCTAGGGGGACTTCTACTTGTATGTCCTCAATGTCTGAGCTGTGCCCAAGGGTGAACAAAAGGTCTCAATCTTGATGGTTCATCCTCCCCTCTCTCTCTGGTGGTCACTTATCATGTTGGTTGCATGAGGGAGGTTTTCCAGCACCACGTCCAACATCCTGGCTCTCCATGTTTCGGGACCCCATGTGCTCCAGGTTTTCCCAAGTCATCTCCCTGTGGTTGAAATCCCCCATAACAGCAACTTTGCCTCTGCTGGAATGAGCTCTTCCTTGCCACCTGAGCAAATGTGTCCACCATTGCTCTGTTGCTTCTTCATATTCCTTCTTGGCTCCTGCAGTTCTGTTGTGGATATACATCACTGCAATGACCACTTTGTGGTTCCCGACTGATGTGTACCTGCTTTGTAGTCTCTTTCTCCCGTTCTCTCTAATGCCTTCCATTCTCGGAATTTCCATCTGTTTTTTACGAAGCAGTGCAGAGTTTGTTTTGTAACTGCTATGATGTTGGGGGACTTCTCATTGTTTCTTACTTGCCATTCCTCATGTTTATTCGTTTAATCCATCTGATTTGTGATAAACCCCACCTTCAATTCTGTTCTATACTGTAACTGGGTGCAGGGGGTGGAAACAGAGGGTCGGTTTGTGTGATGGTTGAGTTTGGATCTGTTTCAGTTACCTTGGGGGTGTCGTGGCTGGTGAGTCCTTCTGCAGGTGTTTCTGGGGGTTGTGCTTGTCCTTCCATTTGATCCTGGGTTATTTGCTCTCCTTTTTCATTTCCTCCATTTCTCCTTTCGTTTTTGAACTTGTCTTTCATCAGCCTTCATTCGTCCTGTGTTCTGTTCTCGATTTGAGGTACAACACTCCGGAACTCCTGCTTGCCTTCAGCCGTGCTTTCTCCTGCAGGATCATGGTTCGGGTTGATTGCCTTGAAAATTACTTTCGAGAGGCTGATTCCTTTTCTTTGTTGAAACACCCAATTCTCGAAAATTTGTGCCACCTGGTCATGTCCCCTCGCCTAATCCCTTTATGATATCTTCAATCGCTTTTTTCTCCTCTGCTTTCTTTCATCATAAGTTTCCCCTTTCGCTTCGTTAAGCCCATAGACAAACACGGATCTCTCCATTTTCTCACCTTCCTACTGTGACTCCCATTGCATCCTCTGATGTGTTTAGTTCCTGCCGTGGAGTGTCCTTTCCTTCAGTCCTTCCTAGTTACCCTGGGCACTATGCTTCTTGGTTTGTCCTTCCTGACTCACCTGTTCCTCGGCCCCACAGGGGTATCTGGTAAGGTCCTTGCACTGTCCTACTTCATTCAATGTGTGTGTGTGTGTGTGTGTGTGTGTAATGTACCTCGGCCTATTTGTGGTTGCAGGGGTCGCATCAAACAGTCATGGGCGGCCGGACACTTACTGATCGTTACTAAGTCCACATCTCCCTGCGTCATGAGTATTATTCGTTTCTCTTCTTAAAGCTATATCACGCTCCGATTTGTTCCACTTCTGATAACTCTTTGATAAAGAACTACTTTTCTAAAAATCACTGTGACTCATCTAAGTGTTCAACATCAGCTATGACCCCTTTGTTGCACTGTGTCTCATAAACTGATCATTCTGTCCCTATCCAATGTGTCAATTTTCTCTCAGTATTTTATACGTCGATATCATGTCCCTACTCCATCTGCCCTCCAGTGTCGCCAGGTTAAGTTTTCCTTAAAACTCTCCGCGTAGGACTTCCCAATTAACTCCGGGAAATGTTTAGTTGCAAACCTTTGCACTGTCTCAATTTCTTGACGTGCTTGTCGAAGTGTGGTTCCCATGGTGCTGCATACTCTAATATGGCCTGACATACACTGTGTACGGAGTAGAGTCTGAACTGATTCCATACTAAGGTGTCGGATGGTATTCTTAGGTTTGCCTGTTCGCCATATGCTGAGCATTTATTTGGTAGATGTGCGCCGCAGGAGATGTGTCGGTATTATACTTCACCCAAGATTGTTTCCTTGAGTGGGTTTGCAAGTCTTTGGCCTACTAGGACTATACTCTGTCTGAGGACTTCTTTGCCCTTCCCAATCTTCATGACTTTGCTTTTGGGCGAGTTTATTAAATTCAAGTAGCCAGTTGCTGAACCACAGCTTGTAGCCTGGTCCAGGTCTCTTTGTAGTCCTGCCTGATCCTCATCCAATATAAATTCTCCTCATTAACTTTCACTTCATCTGCAAACTGGGACATTCTGAGTTTATCTCTCCGTCATGTCATTCAACATTACGAAACACAGCACAGGTTATAGGTACTGACCCTTAGAACCGCTCGTCACAGGCGCCCACTTGACACCTCGTCAGTATCATGACTCGTTGTTGCATCCCTGTCAGACTATTCTTTGATCCATTGCAGTGCCTTTCCTGTTATGCGTGCCCTTGTTCTTCTAGCTTTGCATTAGCCTCACGTGAAGAACTGCGTAGAAGGTATTCTTGCAGTCCAAGAAAATGCATTCTATCCACCCCTCTATCTCATGTCTTACTTCTGATACCTTGTCATGGAAATACTTCAATAGATTTGTGGGACAGGATTTTCCTTCCTCGAAAACCGAGCTGGTTGTCATTTATAAGCTTGTTTCTTTCTAGGTGCTCCACCACTCTCCTCCTGATAATCTTCTCCATGACTTTGCATACTATACACGTCATTGACACTGGTCTGTAGTTTAATGTCTCAGTGTTGTTCTATATCCTTTCTTACAAAATTGGGACTAATTTGCCATCTTCCTTTCCTCAGGAGTTGCCCTGTTCAGTGGATGTATATTGACATTTTTGTTAGTGGCACACTGAATCTCTGCTCCCTCTTAAGGACACATGGAGAGATGTTTGTCTGGTCCCACTGCCTTTGATGTATAAGTTTACATAGCAGCTTCTTCACCTCCTCCTCGGTTATGTGTATATATCCTTCACATGTGTGTATCCTTGTGGTGCACTCCCTATTCTGACCTTCCTGGAAGTCCTTCCTGTCTCAGTGTAAATACTTCTTAAAACCATGTTGAGGGTCCTTTTTTTTCATTATACTTTCTTGGTTGTTCTTGTTGAACTCCTCCTCCCCTTCCTTCCTCAGGCCTGAATACCTGTCCTATGGACTGCTGTTTTTCCTCCTGATGTGCTATACAACAGCTTGGTCGACTTGACTTTCGATGGCTATGTCTTTTTTGTATTTTGTCGCTGAGATTCCTTTCGTAATGAGCATATTCGTTGCTGGATCTTCGGCTAATCTCTGTATTTTCCTGGTCCCTTTGTCTTCTGTATGACCATTTTGTATTATTTTTAACAGTTTGTTTCGAAGTTCGTAGTAGTGGTTCATTACATAGCATGTGTGATCATATTGCGTGATAGCCATTCTCTAGCGCACTTAGTTGTTGCCTCCTTACACTTTTCGGTGAAAACCCGGACTCATCTATGCGTTCCCTATTATTTCTGTTGCCCTTGGGAACAATACCTACATTACCTCCTTGCAGTTTGTTGTCACGTTGGTTCCATCATTTCTTTTACTGGTTTTTCTACCCATTTTTTCACCCCATTGAAACGTCTTGCAGGCAAGTTCTCGTGAATGTGTATTTATCCCTGTTGTAGTTTGGCTTCTCCTGTCCTGTTCCTGCATATCCTCTCCACTTGTAGCTCAACTGGTGTCATTCAAAAGCTCAGAACCACGTGATCACTAACTCAGGTTTCCAGTTCCCCATCCATCATCTTGGCTCTCCCCGTTATCTGGGAACCCATGGAGGTTCCAGGTTTTACCAATTCTCCTTGTGATTGAAATCCACCTGTAACTAGTGAAATACATGGTTTTATAAAATACCGACACAAATGCAATATAAAAACAAATGCAGTATATGTGTGATCTTTATTGACTACGTTTCGCCCAAACAGTGGGCTTTTCATGTCACAAACAGATCTACCTGGGGTGGAACGGAAGCGAAGTATTTATAGTCCGGCTAGGTCAGGTGATTGAATGCCTGCATTGATGATTGTACCGGTTGTAGAGTCTAAAAACTTGGGTAGCTTGGAAGGAGAAATGGACAAGGTTGTGAGCAGTCCTACTACAGTGTTTGCTCTTATGTGGGATAGCGATGAAGAGTTTCTTGGAAAGTGGTTCAGCTATGTTATAGAAGCCACTATTCTGGTTGAAGTTGTCGGATATAGAAATAAGTGATGATTCCAGGATTCTTCGGTATTGAGTGTTGTCTTCTGTGGCGATAAGTCTTGAGATTCTGTAGTTTTATCAAGTCGGTTGTGTGAATTACCGGTGTTGTACGCATGCATTCCTTGTGTCGTCAGACCTGCTTGCGTATTGGTGTTCTGAAATACGTGTTTGGAGGTCCCTTGATGTTTCGCCCATTATAACTTGTTGCAGTCATTACAAGGGATTATGTATACCCCTGCAGAGGATGGAGGCTTGTCTGCCTACTACTGGTGATGTCCTTGATGGACGTGGTTGTGGAGGTGATACTTGGAATGATGTTTTGGCAAAGATGTTGGAAAATGTTTGGCAATGGTGTGGTGGGAAGACTAGTTCTCTTCTCGGCAGTGTCTTCTCTGGGTGTGTTGAAGAATGTTTAGTGCTCGCCGTCTGCAGTCTCTTGATGAAGTGACGGGAGGATAGTGGAGTTTGGAAAATACTGTTCAATTATAGTGCTTCTTCCTCAAGGAACTCGTTGCTGTCAGATTCTGGAGTGCACGCTGGAAGAAGCCTATAATTACACCAGTTTGGTTTTGGTGTCGTGGTGAGAGTAGAGTGGAGAAGACGTTTTGGTTGGTGGGTTTTCGATAGACTTTAAAACGAAGTTTCGTGAGCAGCTTTGCAGAGTAGTACATAAGGAAAGGAAGAGTGTAGTCGACCTCTTCTTCAAGTGTGATAACTGGATTGATGGCTCGACTGGATGGAGCTTGTCTTGGAGAGCTTGATACGTTGAAGCGTTTAGGAGATTATGAGGAGTATGTCGTCAACTTTACGGGAGCAGGTGACAGACCGAAGGAATAATGGTGGAGAACGTCGGCTTCTAGATCGTTCCATGTATAGGTTCGCTAGGACTGCACTGAGAGAGGCGATCCCATGGGGTATTTCCAAAAGTCTGCTGAAGCGGTGATTTTCAAAAGAGAAACACGTTAAAGCCCAACTCATAGTTCACCAGGTCGATGAAGTCGCTGGCTGGAATGGAGAAGATCAAGTGAATCGTCAATTTTTATTGCGCAAGAGATTCGATGGCTTGCTTTAGTAGGTACTTTATTGATTAGTGGAAGTCACGTCAAGGCTGGGAAAGTTCTTGTTCATGTGTGATGTTGCGAATGCGATTGAGAAGTTCACTGAGTGTTTGAGATGTGCTGGACTGATAGTGCCAAACACCTCTCGAAATCTTGGGCACTATCTGTCAGAACATCTCAAAACACATCAGGTGATCTTCTCAATCGCTTTCGCCAACATCAACATCAGGAACAAGAAAATTTCCAGCCTTGACGTGACTTCCCTATTCATAAGTAATACCTATAAAGCCATTCGAATTCTTTGCGCAAGTAAATTACGGATTCACTTGATTTCCCATTCCCAGCCAGGCGACTTCATCGAGCGGTTGAAAATCACCTCTTTCAGCAGACTTTTGGACTACCATGGGTTCGCCATCTCAGTGCAGTCCTAGCGAACCTATACATGGGGGAAACATCTACTAGCGTAGGTCAGGTTCCTGGCGGGGGGTTACCCTGGAGGTTACCTTGGAGGTTATTCCGGGGATTCGGCAAATCAGGATTCAACGCCCCAGCCGGGCCTGTTCCATGGACCAGGCCCCTCCCACGAATGGATCAGGGCCGGATCAACTTAGGTGTTTACTGCTGGCCGCAACGCAGTCCAACGTACGATGAGCCACAGCCAGGCTGAGCCGGCACTGACTTTAGGTTATCTGTCCAGCTCTCTCTTGAAGGACTGCACCAGCCAGTGGGAGTGTTTATTAGTAATTCCCCTAATGCTTGATGGAGAGGCTGTTGAACAGTATTGGGCCCGGACACCTTACGGTGTTTTCCCTTAGGTGTACCAATAGCCCGCCCCTACTTTTTTTTGGGGGGATTTTTACATCGACCTGCCCAGTCTTTTACTTTAGTAGGGAAGTGATTTTTAGTGTGCAATTTGGGACACATTCCCTGCCAAGATTTCCATTGTTGATTTCGATATATCTCTCCTCCTGCGTTCTACAACGAGTACCAGTCAAGGTGTTCAAGAGTTCCCCAGTTGTTAAGGTGCTTGACCAGAAAACTTATACGTGCTGTAACGTAAAGGATTTTGTATACTCTCTTGATCTTCACGATTTCTCCTGCTTTGCATGCAGCCCGTCTGTCGACCTGTTGCTGTGTTCTTTCTCTTTTTGTTCTTCTTAATAAGTGTGTCCAAGAGACACAATGCTCATGTTCAACTGCTTCCCATTATCCAAAAGGGAATTACCAAAAAAACCCCTGGCTCGGTCAAGACGGAATGGACGGATACCCTAAAGTACAATACATCTGACCATCCTGGTTGATCACTTCCTGATCACTGACGAGGCCTGGTTCATGGACCGGGCACCGCTCGGGCAGTTTTCCCGTGCGTTGATCCCCTTCCCCTCGAAACTTCCCATTAGGTAGATACACTTGAAATCTGATTACTCTGAGAAGCAGTTGGTTTGTTGCCGTGGTTTTCAGAGTTAAAATATTTTATCTCTCAGCCCCCTAGGATTGCCTGCTCCGGCCGTTCTAGGAGGTGCATGGGCATGTAGGAGTGTTGCATGGAATTGCATGGAAAATGTTAGGATGTTGCTGGAACTATGTAGGATGTTGTGATAATGGACAGTAGTAGGATGTTGTTTATTTCATGCGAATGGTATTAGGATGGTTGATCGGGCCCCCCATCAAGGCATGTTGCTAATCTAGAATGGTGTGATAGGGCATATAGGATGGTTTTGCTAGGGCATTCGGATGGTCGCTGCTAGGGCGTTACTAGGATGGGTGATAGGGCTATCTAGGATGGTGCTAGGGGCTAGGGCATCTTAAGATGGTGCTAAGGCATCTAGGATGGTGCTTTTGGTGCTAGGTGCTTGGGTTTCTAGGATGGTGACTAGGGTATCTAGGGATGGGTGCTAGGGTATCTTAGGATGGCTGCTAGGGCGTTTTTATTTATAATGGGCGCTCATCACAAATATCCTACTGCAAAATACTGATCATTGCTGTGCATCTTTTTACTCTTGTAAATTTTGGGGGTAGTTGTTGGGGGGAGAGAGATGGAGAGAGAGAGAGAGAGGGAGTGGGTGAGGAGGGTGCGATTGAGGATATTGATGAAGTAGAAATGTGTACAAGGACGGAGATGGAGAGGCAGAGGGAGAGGCAGAAGTCGTGAGGCAGAGAGGGATGAGCGAGACGAGGAGAGACGAGAGAGAGAGCGAGAGGGAGGAGGAAGGAATATAGAAAGGAGTATGAGGAGATGACAAAGAGGAGAGAGGAGAGAAAGAGAGAGTGAGAGAGTATTCATCTTTTACATCGTGGCCTGGTGAGGGAGTTTATAACTAAAAATGAGATTTATAACTACAGGTTTGCTTGTGAGGTTTGAAGAGTTGAAAGGTGAGGGAGGGAGACAACAATACTTCTCTCTTCTTTGTCCTTCTCCTCTTCGTTCCTCTTACCTTCATGATGCTTCTGCACTGTTCCTCTTCCCTCTCCTACGTACTCTACGTCCTTCTTTCCTTATTCTCCTACTGCTGCGGACTCCTCCTTATCCCTCTCTTCTTCTAGCCACTTCGTCCTTCCTCTCTCCTCCTCCTTTACTACTCCACGCCTACTTCACTTCCTCCCTCCTCTCCGTCCATCTTCCTCCTCCACTCCGTTCTCTTCCTCCATCCACTTCTGTCTCTTCTCCTCCACAACTCCGTCACTTTCTATTTACTCCGTCACTTCCTCCCACCACACGTACTCTCCTCCACCACACCGTCACTTCCTACACCACTCCGTCCGTCATCCTTCCACACCCGTCACTTCCTCACCACTCCGTCACTTCACCTCACCACACCGTCACTTCTCCACCACTTCCGTCACTTCCTCCACCACTCCGTCACTTCCTCCACCACACCGTCACTTCCTCCACCACTCCGTCACTTCCTCACCCACAACCGTCATTCCTCACACACTCCGTCACTTCTCCTCCACCACACCGTCACTTCCTCCACCACACCGGCACTTCCCTCCTCCACTCCCGTCACTCCCACCACACCGTCTCTTCCTACACCTCTCCGTCACTTCCGCTCCCTCCACCCGTCCACTTCCTCCACCAACCGTCACTCCTCACACTCAAAACCCGTCACTTCCTCCACCACTCGTCCCTTCCTCCATCCACACGTCACTTCCTCCCCCACTCCGTCACTTCCTCCACCCACACCGTCACTTCCTCCACCATCACCGTTCACTCCTCCCGAACACCTCCGTTGACTTCCTCCTTCCACACCGTCACTTCCTCCACCATATCAGTCACTTCCTCCACCTAATCCGTAACTCCCTACCACCACACCAGTCACTTCCTCCACCTCACTCCGATTCTTTCATCACACCCCACTCCGTCACTTTCCTCAACCACACCGTCCACTTCCTCCTCCAACTCCGTCACTACCTCCACCACACCGTCACTTCCTCACACACGTACTCTTCTCCACCTTCCGTCACTTTCCTCCACCACACCCGTCACTCCTCCACCCACTCGTCACTTTCCTCCACCACCACCGTAACTTCCTCCACACAACGTACTTCCTCCACACTCCACCGTCAATTCCTCCCACCACTCAGTCCACTTCCTTCCACACAACCGTCACTTCCTCCTCCACTCCGTCTCTTCTCAACACCACCGTTATTTCCTCCATCCACAACGTCAATACATTTCACCTGGGAGTTTTCTCATCCATTGACTTACGAGACAGAGTTAATGTCACATCACAATGAGTCATTTTCAGCACCTCTCTTGTATTTCTCACATAATTACCCAATTCACACAGGCTGTTTACCTTAATGTCCATAAAGCCTATAACATTTTTAAGTTCTTGACTCGATCTACTGAGGGAGAGATAATTTTTGTGATGGTGGAGATTTGT